ATGTAGTCTAGTCTGTTGTAATTTGTTTCTATTTTCGCAGTTTTGTCAGCAGTTGGCTTGCGTAGGTGCTCGTGTCTGTCACCGACTATGTTCGGTAAATCGGAAATCTTTGTCACCCTTCGTGTTGACACGTCGGCTTACTCAAGCATTCATTCCGTGTTTTGATTGGAGCTTCAACACGCACACACACACACACACACACACACCACCACACACCACCACCACGCACGCACGCACCCGCACGCACGCACGCACGCACGCACGCACGCCACGCACACTTCGTCCTTCATAGTTGTCAAAAACACGCCCCTGGCAAGCTTTTGTTCGCATCTCGCCGTGGACCGCTAGAGCGACACCATGGGATATGCGCCCATAAGTCAGCTAAAGGAACGATTCACTATCACGCGACTCTGTGTGTGGACGGCGCCGGAGCAATGTTGTGGCTGTGCGCTGGGGCTCCGCCAGCTGGCGTGCTTTGGTGGCCTGTGGGTGAACCAGAGATGTTGTTGTGTCGCCCCTTGTCCGTTGTCTGTAGTCGTGTTGTGCCGCCGATCCCAGACCGGTGGCTGGGCAGATTGCTGCCGAGCGAGCTCCACTGTACACTGACTTAAAATTAAAAACGCCTCAGCAAAAGGCGCCAGAGAGACTGGAAGGTTTTTGACAAAGTCCTCACGGAAATCAGAATCAGTGCAAAATGTTGATACCATTTGCTTAGGACACATCTGTCCGTCTGTCTGTCTGTTCGTCTGTCCGTTCGTCGCGTTTTGCGTAACGCCGTTCACGAGCCTGACGGTGGGTTGTTGAATGGTGAAATATGGACACAACGCGCATGTGCACCAGGCGGTTTTTCCACCGGTAGATCGCGAGCCGCTGCGGTCCGGGGTTCGCGCGTGGTATGTGGTGGAAGGACCGCTTTAGGCCCAGAAGTTGTGCACGGATGGCCCGAAAATGTGGCCCTCAACGAAGCCGCCGAGCAGCCGCTCAAAGCTTTAGTCTCATCCTCGACAACTTGGGGTCGGAGCAACACAAAGTTAACACGCTGGGGTAGATGATTTGATTGGTGCTTGGATGATTGATGAGTGATGATTAAGAAGGACATCGCCTGTTGGCAGTTGTGCGGCCTGCGCGTATCACGTGTACCCACGTACACAGAAGCAGGCCAAGATGTTTTTGGCCTGCTTTAACGGGTTTTGACGTTTTAGCACTGTGTCTCGGCAGGCAGAATGTGTGTAGGCGCGAATCTAAATTCCAAGCGTCGACCGACGTACCGTCGTCCATTTATGTGAACTATTCCGAGTTTATGCGATGCACGATTGCGACAGGATTCGTTGGGCAAGCCGGGAATGTCAGCATTTTGGAAAAAAGCGGAGCCAAATACACTCTCGAAGCTGTAGCCGGAGTCGTGGCGAAATGTATATAACCGCGTGCAACGATTCATTGGCTGTATTTACCAACCATCTGTTGGTCATTATGTACACTGTCCCGCCGTCCGTGCATCGACCGTACTTAAGCGGTCGGAACTCCACATTTCGCGTCGCCGAAATTGCCGCCGGTTGATTGCCCGCTCAAGTATTTTAAGAAAAGACAACGGAACACGCATGCGCCGTATGTTGCTGACAGTACGACAGTCACCATTCAATCAATCATTTGATGAACATCAGAGGGTTCCTTGACTCGTTGTGTTTGCATCCCCGAGATCATACAAACACAACGCCCATATACGCCCCGTCGCCTTGCGAAGCAAGCCTGGAAGCATTTCGTCAATCTACCGTAATTACTAAAAGATCCCCAAGACGGCGGCGACGGTGACGCGGCGGCGGTGAATCAGGCCATTACGCATGCTACCGGCGTCCGGCAGCCGTCAGTTACTCATTCATTCCCTCCCCCCCCCCCCCCGAACTCCGGCCAGGGAATCCCAGGGAACGCATCCCGGCATCATGCCAACACAACGCCCATGTACGCCCCGTCGCCTTGCGAAGCAAGTCTGGAAGCGCTGCGTCAGTCTACCGTAATTATTAAAAGATACCCAAACGGATATCCCGAAATAGTCCATGGAAGAAATCATATTGCACCTAAAATTCTGAATTCTGATGCATTGGTACCGGCTCTGTATGTCTCGTACCTGTCTACAGCGAGCTAGAATCGCTTTTGAACTAGGGTGGGAGTGAAAAATTTCATCGTGAAAAGGCCGTACTAGAGTGAAAAATTCAATTCACAAATAAAAGATCTTATGAGCTAGTGAGAGATACTTCAGCAAAGAAAGATATGCATTTCAAGTTGGCATGGGCGTAATATCACAACCCTGTTAAAACTCGTTTGTTTTTTAACATCTTAGGCCATTCAAGTGAAACAGAATATATTAAAGCATAGTGATTTCATAGCAGTGTAATTAGCATAAAACACTATGTAACGCCAACAATTGTATGCTGCGTTCTGCACTTCCCATCCACAACATTTTTTAACACAAAACAAAAGCAAAGGAATTCAACAACAAAACAACAGCAGAAAATGCAACAAGCATAAAGCACTAAAAAACCTTGGACTCCTACACATCAGCCCATCAGCAAGTCAAGCACAATAGACTTACCTCTGCCTTCTGTTAGGATGGGGTTAAGGAAAATAAACATTATGTCACTGTTTCTTACAAATTCCAATGCTTATTTCCATGAAAGTAGCCGAACTATGCCTAACGTAAAGAGGCCTTACCTCATGTCATCCTGTCTAACCTGTTTGTATCACATCAGCATTTGGGAGTCACTGATTCTTGCACAATTCCTGTTGCACAAGCCATGCAATTAACCATCTTAACCTAACTTAGAGTAACCCGCATGTTGAACATCATTTCAACTTACCTCACCTATCTGTCGGCAGCAGCACTGGTAATAAAAACATGATAAAGCTCATTTTTGGCTAGTTTCAACTTCCACTTTCATTCAGTGCATTTGTGTCAGTTTGTTGACACCAGACTGAAATGGACAACACACATGTCAAAACACTTCAAATCACTTTGAACGATTTATTCTGATTGCCATGCTGAACCTCTGCCAAAGGCAATAATTGGTATGCTCCACAAAGCAATTCCTCTTCTCCAAAAGCAATATAACTTTTAGATGACCATACCAGTTTCGCTGCTCGTTTTTCAGCTGCAACAAAGGAATCTATTTAGATTTGTTTATTCATATTTAATGGCAAAGTTTGATATGTGAGCTTCACATTTTGAATGGGATGGTCTGACTATTTGCTACATGCTGATATTTACCTCATATAATAATTGTTATGTAGCTGATGGTATCCTTGTGTTAAAAACATGCTGTATATATACAGTACAGTCATTGGCCAGTCAGCAAACCATGCCAGCCATGAACAAAATCTGGTTAAAGTAGCCATGAGGGGGTGTTTCAAGAAATGTGAGGCAAGTAATCAACAATATGGAACCAAATAAGTCAATTACATGTCTTGTGGCATCATAATTTGTCTTATGACAAAAGTCGATGGACTGAAACAGAAAAAATGGCTACCTCTAGTTGCAAATCATGTGTTGAAAGCAGATAAGGTGAGCAATTACTCGCTCCACAGGAGTATTACCGGCTTTGTAAGGACACACTTATTCGTGTTCCCTCAAACAAAAAGTTATTACCTTTCCCATGGTTTGCTGACAGACAGGGTCATCCCATTCACCCCCAAATATAAATATAAATCATGCCCACCAACCTACGAGATTAAAATGCGAAACAAGTAATTGATGTGCATGATACACAGTTCCAAAAGGCAGAATTTCGCCACCAAACGCTCAAGTATTAGCTGCGTCAGGTCTGTCCCAAAACAATGTATGGCAGCATGACGTAGCCTGGTGATGTAGACACTGGAAAGGGTTGGATTTGTTATTATCGAGCACCGCCATGAACCAAAAAAACGGCTCTAGGGATTCAACAAGGCAAGAATGGCGGTAAAAATAAGTTCCGTGCTTCAGATTGTGTCCTTCATTCGCTGTGAATTGTTTACTCCTGAGTGCATATCAAACATGTTTGGGCGGCTGGCGAATTAATCCAATTTGTGTATAAAATACGTGCAAGTTTGCAGCTGGAGCATTTTGCAGAGAATTTGGTCAACATTTTAAGCAACAAATGGTACATTTAAAGGCAATCAGAAGGGAAGCGAGATTAAGTTGTATCTCACTCATATGATACCAAGAAAAACAAAAGTGCTTAGATAAATACAAAGACTGCTGTCAAGATCTTGTAATCAGCCGAGTTGACTTGAAATCTGTGAACTTGAATGCTGAAATGGTGATATTCATCTTTTAAATTTCATTTAGAAGATATTTCTCGAATGTTTCACTCCTGCATTTCGGGAGTGATGCAATTTAGTGGTCAAGTTTCTTCGGGTGAAAGCAATACGTGGAGTAAAATTATCTACCAGGCTTTGCTGGCGTTTGCACCAATCTCCGCTTTCGTGGTGTGGTGGTGAGGCCAAAAAAGTTAGCGATGCGTGAAAGCCTTGCATTTGGCACACAGCTGTCAACTGTGATGTATTTTGGAAACAAACCAAATTTGATACATGCAAGCGGATGGAGTCGCTGGGGCTCTTGGTCTTGAAGGTACTTGGCGCCCTTGCTCTTTGCATACAAAGCCATGCTTCATGACTTGATGGTAGACTTTGCAAATGTAATAGATGCAGGACATAGCCATAAGCGCCCAGGTTCTGTGGAGCCTTGTTTATGCATGGTGGTTTCAAGTGAGTTCGGTTTTAGAGAGGGGGGAAATCAGAAAGGGATATATGGGTTTGGCATCTGCGATTAGACAATATGAGGCAGTAGTGAAAATCCATGTAAAGTGTGGGGAAAAGGAGTGAAAAATTTCTCCTTATAGGATGTTGCTTTACACCTAAAGTCGCCAATTCTATGACACGGTCTGTATGTGACGGTGTCTGGCACGGCCGACCCCAGCGGTTGCCGCAACCCTGACCTTTGGTCTGACCGTTAACCTGTGGCTACCCGGCAGGACCCGCCCAACTGCGCCCTGCACGCCCTCACCCTGTGTGAGTCGGAGCCGATCGCGTTCGAGACGGCCTACCAGATCGTCATCGACGCCGCGTCGCACATCATGACGTCATCCCAGCTCTTCACCATCGCCGATACATGGAGCACCGCGGCTACCCGCTGCGGGCGTACAAGCTGGCCATGCTCGCCATGAACACCATCTATCTGGTGTACAACCACGTGAGTGGCGGCTGGCGGTGCCTCGGAGTGGGAGGGAACCTCGGCGGACGGCTGCGCCCGTCCCACCAGCGTGGACTGGTGCTGGTACTGTCGGCGCCGACCGGCATTGGTGGCGGTCGCGGCGAAATCGAGCCTGATGTCTGTATGAGACGGGAAGTCGCGCGGTGTAATGAAAAACAATGCAGGGTCGGCAGTATTCTATAACGGTCGAAATCTTCCGCACGGTTTCGGAGTCCACGGGGTGCATCTGGGTGGCATGGGAGTCTTGTGGCTTTTTTGTGTTTAGAACAACGCGGGGAGCCGCGCGATCTGGCGTCAGACACCCGTTTCAGCGAGTCGGGCCACTGCACTGGTCTACATCTTTGACGAGAGTTGTTGCCATTGTCCAGCACGGCTACAGAATTGCTGTGACCAAGTGCGGCACGGATTGTCGGATGTTTTGAACAAGCGCGACTCAAAACGCTGTGTTTTTTTTGTGTCCCCTCTCCCCCCCCCCCCCCCCCTCCTCCCCCAGTGACGCATCAGCAGCGCCGACGCGCGGCATGTGACATGTTATCCCCGACAGTGATCAGATAGACGTGGGGGGGGGGGGGGGGGAGGGCAGGGCGTATACTGCCAGACGCGATTTCCAGCCAGATCCGCCGCCGAACAGCTGACTGGTGCCCCCTCCCCTTTCTTGTCGGTTCTGCTTTGGTTAGTCGGCTTGTGGTGGGGGGATGGATTCGAGCCAGCTTACGTCGGCGGCTATTGCACACTGGCCGCGCCCGTCGACTCCGGGCCGCACGGACGGCCCCGCGCGGCCGCATCCGTCGGCTTAAGACCGCCCGACGCGCCATGGATCCGTTGCTCTGCGCGGGTAGAGTCGTGTTCCGACCAGGAAAAAGACGCGAACAAAAAGAGCAGTCGGCTTTGGGCCCAGTCGCGTCCGTCAGCATGCCGAGCGATGGCAGGTCGTCAGTATGGCATACTCGGGTCGATTTACGGAATCAGGCTTGGTGAATGAGAGTCAAAGCATCGCTGAGATCAGTTCTACCTGGTGGGATGACTTCAGCTCGTTTAAGCAGGCGTTTTGTCAGCCCCGCATGTAATCTGAGAACAGGAGAGCCGGCGTCTGCATTGCGTTTGCCCAATGTTCCCTGCCTTCCAAAACATTTACTATGCTTGGTACGAGCACGATTTTCACCAGCTCTGATAAATTTGAGGCCTCCACATATGGTCTTGGGAATCTATTCAGCACCTGAACTTACCATTCAACTGTAAATAGTTTTAGCGGTTAACACCCGCCCGGGTGGCCGGTTGGATATCCTTCGCTCGGGCGGGGGTCAGTTTGACCCCCCTGAGATCTCAGAAACTAAGAAAGCTGGAGACACCAAATTCTTAAGGTGTATTGACCTACACGTAAACTCACATAGGTCAGAGTTTGAGGTTCCTAGGTTATGACCTTTGGGCCAAATGTGGTCAAACAAGATTAATATCCATCTTGGTCCCCAAAGAGCTCCTTGAACCTAAATAACTGTTTGAAGAAAATGGTCACGCGTCCATATAAGGTCAGTGAGCTTTTTGACCTTTTGAAGGTCATGTTGACCAAAGTAATAGAAGACTGCTTGGAGTTTCGGATAAGCGACAAAGATGACGATGGTCAGTGTGTTCCTAAAAACAAAGTGTCAACCTGGGTCATTTAAGGTCAGTGACCTATTCTGACCTTTGAGAAGTCAATTGAAGCTGTATAATGCGTCTCTGTTATCAATAAACTCGAAATGAGCATCAGAAACTATCCCACGTAGCAAGCTCCAAAGTAGCAATGCGGGTTGGTATGACCTTGGTCTCACTTTCATACCTACCCCTAGTTCAGTGTAATTTGTTTATTCATTTGTTGTGCTGCCTAAGAAAGTATCTGAGGGATGTGTGACTTCGTCTAACACTCCGATGTTGGGTCGGATTGAACGATGCCCAGAAATTGCCCTCGCTAAAACTGTGGCCTGGTTTTGACCCGCCATAGGTCAACAACCGTACCAGGTGAATCTAATTTTTCATGCCAACGATCCACTGTTCAATTGTCTACAGCTATGCAAAATTTGGCGTGACCGCGCCGCATCGTTCGAAAGCCATTCCGGAAAAACCTTTGAGGGGTCAATTTGACCCCCACCTGGGCTCGCGTTAATGTTAAGCACCCGAGTTATTCGTTTACCGGTGGAAACGTGGTACGTAGACATACGTTACTTTGTTCGGTGTTAGCGACATGTTTTCTTGCGTCATCTCTTTCACGCCTTGGTTTGCACTCCCACCACCACGATCACTTCATTCAACCAACGCTCAAAACAGAGCACCGCGTCTGGGAACGCTTCAGCAGAGCGCCGGGGGTTCGTCTCACACACACTGGGGCCCGTCTCACACGCCCCGCGCTGTTTCAGGACACACACCCGGCCATCAACGACATCCACTGGGCGTGCGCCCTGAGTCACTCGCTGGGCAAGTCTGAGCTGTCAAGCATGGTGCCGCTGCTGGTGAAGAACGTGCAGTGCGCCACCGTGCTCTCGGACGTGCTGCGCCGCTGCTCGATGGCAGCGCCCGGTCTCTCGTCGCCGGACGCCAAGCGGCGGCCGGCCAAGCCGCTCGGCTACGAGCGGCCGCCGCTCAAGGCCCTGCTGGAGGCAGCCGTGGCCGCCTACGCCAACACGACCCACTCGCGGCTGACGCACATCAGCCCGCGCCACTACGGCGACTTCATCGAGTTCCTGAGCAAGGCGCGCGACACGTTCCTGCTGGCGCCGGACGGTCGGGAGCAGTTCGCCGCTCTGCTCGAGAACATGCGCACGGCCTACAAGGGCAAGAAGAAGCTCATGTGCCTGGTGCGCGAACGGTTCGGGTGATGCTTCCGTTCGTTAGCTAGCTGCTGGTGATATAGTCAACGATCTCAGACGCGCGCACGGCGGCGCGTGTGACGTCATGACGACGTGGTGCCTTGGCGGCCGCGGGCGTAGCGTGGGTGGATCCGGCTCTGGGGCGCACTGGGCAGGGTGACGCACCGGCCACTGGACCGCTCCCGGCTGAGGGGCGCACCGGCCGCTGGACCGCTCCCGGCTGAGGGTCGCACCAGGCTCTGGAACTCTCCAGGCCGAGGGGCGCACCAGCCGCTGGAACGCGTGAGCCGAGGGGCGCACCAGCCGCTGGAACGCGTGAGCCGAGGGGCGCACCGGCCGCTGGAGCGCGCGACGAGCGGCCGCCTTGCTCTGCCACGACCAAAGATGTACAGGGCCGGCCGGCCGTCTCTTCCAGGGCCGCACGGGCCTGTTTGGGGCCGGGAGGGTCGCTGTACATAGGCCGGGCGACCGGCCGCCGGCGCCGGGGGCGGACAGCAATACCGCAAGCCGGCCCGGGCGCGTTCCTAGTTTTCTACGTCGGCTTTAGATGGGCCGACGGTGGCGACGTCGCCCCGCTTGTATGTACATCTGCGTGTCCACGTGGGGTAATATGTGCTTGCTGCTGGTCGATAGGGGCACCTTTGCGTCAGATGACGCTCGCCACGAGAGACTGAGTGGGGCCGGTCGTAGTGTGGGGTAACCCAGGGCATTGTCGTGTTTATACCTCATTTTGTTCGTCACATGCCTTGTTGGGCTATCCAGCCCGTGGGCGTTGGCCCCGTTTATGTTACATATCCCTGCTGGTGTTTTGAACCGGTGTTGTCGATATTAGTGAGGCCGCTTGTTCGCGTTCTATGCACACGGACTAAAGTGCCAGTGTGTGGTCGCCACGCATCGTTTAGATTGTTCATCGGTTCGGTCGTCGCGACCACTTCTGAAGTAGTCTACAAATGCAGTCCATATCCTGCTGGAAAGGATGGAGAGCTGACTGACCTGACACTGGCGTATGGTTCGGTTCGATTTCCATTGTGGCGGTGAAGCTGGCGCCTGCAGCTTACGGTTTTCTTCCTTAGGCTTCAATGTATTATTAGCCTTTTACGGCTGGCTATCCATCCTCTTCCCTTTATTATGCAATCAGACATGTGGGACGTTGCCGTGGCGTCAAAAGCGTACCGACTGTTCAAAACACGCCACGTCTAATGTAAATGCGATCTGAATGACTTGCAGCTGCCTTGGTGCACAGCGTTCTCGTGCAACTTCCGTTCTCCAAGATTCTTTGTCAAGCAGCCAGAAGTTTGTGTAGAGTAGCGGAGGACATGTTCCAGAATGAACGGCAGCATTTGACCCGTCCGGTGGCTGACAACGCCTTTGCGGTTGTGTTTGCCTCCGTTTCTCGGAATGGGGTCCGCGAATGCATACACGGCTCTTAATTCTTCAGGGGGTTGTTTTGTAACTTATTGTTCTCCTCGATGTCATCTTGTTTATTGTGATTCAACATCTTGTGAAGTTTCTTCCATAAGAAGTATGCATAACCCCTGTCCTTAAATTGTATGGAAAATGCAATCTTGCGCAAGTTTTTGTTGTGTAGTGGTTCTAGAATATTTTTGTATGATCTCATGTCGCAATGAAATACATGTTGTTAATTGCCAGACCTGGGCTACGTTTATCATCTGATACCACCACCGATGAGCTGGGCTCGAGATGCCGTCCCCGGCCTCTGGTGGTTCGGCCGGGGACCGTCAGCATGCCGGCTTGGCTCCGGGGACCGTCAGCATGCCGGCTTGGCTCCGGGGACCGTCAGCATGCCGGCTTGGCTCCGGGGACCGTCAGCATGCCAGCCTGGCTCCGGGGACCGTCAGCATGCCGGCTTGGCTCCGGGGACCGTCAGCATGCCAGCCTGGCTCCGGACTCACCACGACACAGGGGTCGGATTGGTGGGCCACACCTTCCTCGGCCCATTCAGATTAGGTCGGAGCATGGGTACTACACTGTCTTCACTGATCGTCGACTGGTCGGCGGCAACATGAGGATGACATGCATGGCGGTAAATGAGTGAAGATGATTGGTGCAAAGGGACTGAAACGTTAACATCAAACAGAGCGGCAACTAAGCATACGCGGACAAACGCGTCACCCATCTCAGCCATCGCATTACTGGCGCGCCTGCGCATCGCAGCCATTGCCTGTACTGCCGCGCTCACGCATCCCGCAAGGAGTACTCAGCGCTGCTCCGAAGAGTGATGCCGAGCGTTCCAAGAACTCTGCCAACCCCCCGTGAGGCACCACCTTTCCTTGGTTTGGGGCATTGTGTGTCCCAATGATCTTGCGGGCGGTTTGGGAGGCTTTTAAAGCGCCCCTTTCGGCCAAAGCGGAGAGGCTAAACGAAACGTGCCTTCTGCAAGGGCTCTTGACTCGTTCAGGGTAGGGATTAGCAACGTCTCGGCCCCAGCTTTTCAGTCTTTTCGAGGCCTCGCCGTACCCCGTTGGATCCGCAGGTAGCGGTGAAGGGATCCTAGTCACTGAAGGAGTTGCCCTGCGGATCATTTGGGGCAGCTTATCAACACGTGGCTTTGGCCCCAATTTGTTGTCCTGCCGATGCCTCGTGAAGTTTCCGCACGAGGAGGTGGGCTGGTCAGGCGTGTTTTCGCGACACTGGCTTGGAGGCAAGCAGACCATGGATGGGTGTTGAAGAGGGATGCGTATTGAAACTTCCGGAGTTCATAAAGTCCAGTGTTCAAAAAGTTCAGAATCGCAGCATCCAGCGTTCATAACATCCAGAAACCGTTCAAAACCCCTGGACAGAGGAGAACATAAAGTCCAGGCTCGCAGCATAAAGTGTTCATGGAGTCCGGTGTTCCTGAAGTCCAGCGTTCATAAAGTCCAGCGAGCGTGAGATCCATGGGTTGCGATATTGCCCCACTTCCTCGCAACCCTTTACCTAATGGTTCGTATATTGCCCGATAGAGGGCTACCGCAGCCGATTTCGCCCGGCTCAGCTGACGAGTGAAGTCATGCGGTACAGTGCTGCCCAGTTATACCACTGTGCATGGATATGGACAACGTTTTGTTTGAGCGCACAAGCTTTGCCGCGAAAGCACGTCCTTGGCAGCAGGTGCATTCAAAATTTCAAAACTTTGATCCATGGCTCGTGGAATCGGAAATTGCTGGTTACTCGGCAGCAGCTGCACGGTAATCGTGGAAAACACTTTTCGGGGTGCCTGCTGTTTGGTATTGTGGGCCATGGGTAAAATTATCTGCGGAATTTGGTTCCGTTATTTACTATTTGTGTTGGTGATATTTCTCATTTTTTGAAGGAATTGATGACTGATGTGTAAGGCGGACTGATTTGATGCGTGCTCCAGGTAGGTGCTTATGTAGATCTGTAGCTCCCGGCACGCTAACCTATATTGTGAGTGGTTTTATTCGGCTGATTCACCTCCCTCCCCCCAACTGCAAATTCTTTCACACGCTCCTGCAAATGGGACTCATTCTGAATTCTCCATGCCTTTACCCTGAAAAAGAGGGGGTGGGGCGGTCTCATCAGCTGAATCTGGATGCTACTCCCTGGTAAGGCACAGGCTCAATGGCCCAGACTACAAACAACTCGTTTCTTCAGTTAGGCACCTTTCAAACGAGCGTGGTTTACCAACATGGGTTGGTTGGCTGAGCGATCAAAATACAAGGAATAGTGCCGTGATAATATGCCAACAAATTGGTTTCTCTCCTAATTTGGCTCACTTTTTCACAAATCTGCCGGTTGCAACCCAAGTTACGGCGGGAGAGGAAACCCCTGCAACTGAATAAGAAACCGCACTCCTGGTTACAAGTCAATGGAAAGTAAAAAAGCAAACGTCGACTGCGAATATATCCAACTGCCTGCTAAACGCCACGCAAAACACTACGCACGTGTTGCGCTTACAGGCGCTGTCGATTCACCATCTGAACAGAGGAGCCGGGAGTATGTCACTGAGCTGGTTTGCGGTATATCAGCTGAATGAATTGTGAGAATCGTGAGCTTGTTTTCAGCATCCTCTTCATCGATCTTTACACGCTTTCTTCCTTTTACGCTTCTGAACATCCTAAGTATAGAATTTGGGATCCAGCAATACCAGTCTGGAGTTCATCGAGACCGATGCAGTTCGCGCCGCTGAGGGGCGATGGTGGCATGTTGGTTAGCGGCTAGGGTGCTCATCTCTGGACTTTTCTGTCCTGGGATGGTGTCCTGGCCACACCACTACCTCATCCCACGTACTTAACGCCTGATCAATATGTAATAGAGGGGTTCCGCCTCGAAATAGCCATAACAGCCGGTGAGACGTAAAGCCCCGATCGGTATTATATCCCGTCCCTACAAACAAACCGCCGCCCGCGAAATTTGCGGGCAATGCTTCCGCTCAAGCCCTGTATATATGCGGGAATAATAATGTGCAGTCGGTTGGACGCGGAGCTCGGACACACAGGCTAGCCCAGAGGCTGCCCAGCTCGACGGTCCGGCCGGCAGCCACGCCCGCGGCGGGCCGGCGGACGAGGCAGTCCGGCCGGCCAAAAAAGAACGCATTCATGCGCGCGGTCCCTCGCCCGAGAACAGAGGAACCACGCCACACGCACGCGAGGCCTGGCCGTGGGACAGCCCGTCCGCGGTCGAAACACTGCCAGCTCAGTCGGGCGCGCCGCCATCTTTGCGTCAGGGCCCAAGACCCCGACTCGGTTTCACCCGGTTCGCCGCTGTACGCATCCCGGCGGATCGGACATCCGGACATGTCGGACATCTCGGGATCTCGCTCGTGCTGGACCGGAGCCGCCGCCCCCCCCCCCTTCCCCCTCCTCCTTGACGGGCGCCTTAATGGAAGAGCCTCGTGTCAGTCAGGAACCAGCACCGGACAGGGTCTCTCTGCCTGTTTCTCTACAGCCGAAATACGTCGAACTGGGATCCCTGTGTTCTTTATTAAACCCGCTGCGCTCGGGACCATTTAGGGTTTGTGGGTGGCCCCGCGTTGATCCAGGGTCAACCATCCCGGTCAGAGGGCCTTCGGTGTCAGAGAGGGGACCAATGTATTATGTGAATGAATAGTAACCGTCTGGAAATCTGAAAGGGAACGGAAAGGTCCTTCAGCCCCAATCTGGATATGCATGGGGTCTCAAGTCTTGACTGAAAACTATTTTGGGGTCTGGCTGTTGAAGGGGGAGGGGGAGGGGTGAGAGAAGGGCGAATAATCCAGGAACCCCTGTGAGGAGCTGTTTTCGGAACCGTGAAGCCCAAAAAATGACCGTACTGAATGAGAAGAGCAAAAAAAAAACCATTTGTCAAATAAAGATTCCGACAATACCGTAGCAATACGTCTAGCAGTCCAGGAAGCCCGCTCTGGTAAACTTGTGGAACCCTCTGGTCGCTCAGTTGGGCCTTCCTGGTCGTCAGGGGTACATTGGTATTTAAGAGCCTT